TGGAGGTGGGCAAAGGGGGGCAAAAAGGGGGACACCTACAATAAAGTCAACATTTAAGTTTTCTAACAAAAAAGTCCTGCATAATGCCTTTATCAGAATATTTTCTTTGCTATATATTCATATTTAAAATGAATCATTTCAACTAAAATATGTGATAGCAATGATACATAATTCTCACATTGACCTGGTGTGACAAGATGCTATCTTGTCTCTTCCTTGATGGGTAAACTGGAGTTTAGATTCACTAAGAAAAATTCCCAAACTAATAGAGGTTGTAAGTGACAGATATGAAATTTGGGCACAGAACTGACTGACTCTAGGAGCCAGAATCTGTTATATATTTACAATAAACTTCCCAGTTCAGAAGAAACACTAGAAATAATATTTCAAACAATAAACCTGCATTGAGTTTAAATAGTTTTCATTGCATAATTGATGTAACATATATTATTTATGCTATTTTGTTTTTTTAATACTCAAAATTACATTTCGATTTGCATGCTTAAATGTGAAAGACAAGGGAAAACATACAGGAAAAGACAAGAAAATCTGTCATGAATTGGAGACTAAGGAAGCATGATAACTGAACCTTATGTAGGAATCTGCATTGGGTCCTCAACAATAAAGACATTAATGGAAAAACTGGTGGAACTGAAATAAAGTGTGCAGTTTAGTTAATTATATTGCGCCAACGTTAATTTCTTGGCCACAACCTTTGTGCTATGAACACACAAGATCCTGACATTAGGGGCAGCTGGGCAATGGTTATGTAAACTCAACCATTTTTGCAACCTTTTTGTAAGTCTAAAATGATCTCCAGTACAAAGTAAAACAATGTGTGTTAAAAGTAGTATGTCTTACGTCTTCTTGTGTTTTGTTATCACTTTAACTTGAATCCTTTTTTATATTAAGTTGCTCAGTATTAAATCACATTCACATTTACAAATATTTATTTTCTACTTTACTTAGAAGATAACTTACTTTTGTTTCTTTCTTGAGATCTAAGGGTCCAATGGACTTTTAAATGATTACATATCCTTGAAGTTATTTACAGTGTTTAAACAAGACCAAAGTAGCTGCTTTCCTATAAGTCTAAGAGAACCTCTATAATTTGTTTAATTGTTCATATAAAATATAAGCAAGATCTCTTTTGCTTTAAAATATGTCCCTCACATATGGCTGTAGTATTTAAATAAACTAGTGATTATATTGAAATTATTTTGTAAAACTATAAATTATATTTATTACATTTTACTTAAACTTATCTACTAGAGGAAAGCAGCTAACTCAAAGACTGAGCACTTTCTTAGTAAAACCCAACTGAAAAGGTTTTTACCTTGTGAGTTTTCAAAAAAAAAAAAATTAATATGACCCTATATACAATAATTCACAATTTAAAAACTGTAAAAATTTTCTCAGAAAAAATGAACCTAATACTCAGGTTATTGCTATGCTGTTGATAGTTTTAAGTTTACCATATAAATGAGTAAATAGCATATAAGAGCTTAAGTCTTAGAGTTGGATTGTCTAGTTTGGAATCTTCCACTACCTAGTAATGATGCAAATCTAATCAAGTGACCTAAATTCTCTGTCTCTGATTCATCGCCTATGAAATGAGGGTAACTCATAGGTTTGTTGAATACTTTTGAAGAGCCTTGAAAGGTTGTTGGTACATATAATTTAGCTCTAATAGTTACGTCTTTTTTTTTTTTCTTTTTTTTCTGTTAACTGCAATTTGCTACTCGGGCAGCTTCAGATCTTTATAATTCTACATTTACACACATTCTCTTATTTTGTTGTAATTAAAACTGTTAGCCTAATAAGAGAATAAAGACATCATTCTCTAGAAATAAAGACTACTTTTCTTTAACATTGTTTATCAATTTTTTTATTTTACAAACGTTGTGTAGTCAACAAACGTTTTAAAATATTTATGATTTGAATTATATCAGAATTAACCCACAGGCCATAAAACCTACTTTGTTATGTGTTGAAACTAAGAAATATGCTTAACATTTTTAACTTAGCTCCATGTTTGAATTCTGAGTTAAGTTTCAAATTGTAGACCAACTGATTTTTCTAACATTCTACGAAGCGAACTACAGCAAAGCATCTGAGTGCAACATAAATATCTTGTCATGAAGCACAGCAATGAATACAACACGCTGACCGATAGCTGAGGGGCCAGGGGTGCACCCATCTGAGCCTTCGTAGCCAGCTCCCGGGACTCACCTGTCTCTGATTCCTTGATTGCCAGCCAGGACACTGCAATTAGCGCAGCACAGAGAACCACCAAAATGACAATGAGAGCCCCGAACACAATTTCATAGGTGCTGAGGCGCTGGGGCCTGGAAGTTCTATTTGACACCATGTTTGGCTTTGGAAGAGTCACTCATCTAACCGCCGTGAGAGAGTATAGAATCCTGCACCAGCTGACGAGAAAAATCTCTTAAGTTTTCAGAAAAGATTTGGAAAGCAACAACGTCAGTCTACACTAGTCTTACTAGCCGGTATAAACACAGCTGTGTGTGCCCGAAGGGCAACATATGCCTCTCTGCATTAAGTAGATTTTAAAGGGAAGTTAATGTTTAAGAAGTTGTAAATGAGCAGAGATACCTAGAGTTGTAAATGTTAGTTATCTGAACAGGCCATTTGCTGAGATGAATGACACTAAAAGCATGTTGTAAACAAAAATGCCACTTTATCATTTTGAAAACCATTAGGAAAAACATAAAATTCATGCTGGACAAATTAGTCATTAGGTACATGCATTTGATATTTGTAGAGAGTTCCTAAGAGATCAACAGTCTATACTCTGACTCAGGTCATGATTAAGGCATTTCTCCTGTTCAACGCAGGTGTAGACATTCTAAAAATAACTTTTATGCAGAAGTATATAGAAAGCCTAACTTATGTATTAATATCTACATCCTCTCTCTGTATTTTATATATATATGTGTGTATATATATATATTTTTTAATATAATTTCTTATTGAAACCATCACAAATTTTGTAATCTCCACGATATCACCCAGGTGGAATTATGCAATGTAAGGCAGTATTGATTTAACCTAAAGGAAAGTCCACATAAATGAGGCATCAAATGGCTACTCTTTATGGCTTCGTACAGTTATCAATGAATGGGAGCAGCTGCTGTGAGAAGAATAAAGCATTTGTTTCTATTTTAAGAAAGTGTTCTAGGTAGGGAAGGTATTGCTCCCTCGCCCTGGACTTTATCTTAGTAAACATTCCAGTTATACAAGAGAACAGGTTATGGTACTTAACAGGTGACTGTAGACCTACACTTTCTGGGGATATCAAGACCCTTTTCCGACAAGTCAAGTACAGCTTGTCATTGGAACTTCCACAGCTTGACTAGCAATGAACGTAGAATCCAAAACGAAACTCAGGGTGGGGCACAAGTAGATCGACAGTTTTCATATGGAAAATAATAAAATAAGAAAAAAGAATACAAGTATAAACTGGACTTTTGCCCCACCCTGTAAATAAAACCTAACCCATTTGCCTTTTGTTCTGATAATGAAGTCCTAGGTCAGAGGCCCTTAATACACTGAAATTGTGGCGTATCATAATTGGCTAAAATGAGCAATCGCTGCTTTTGTTCCTTCTTTAACACTGAAAGAGGAGAATGGAACATTGCAGTCTAAAATCCTCGCTCATGAAAAGTAGAATATAAATTTAAAAATGTCTTATGGGATATAGTTATTCTTTTTATTTAACTGAACTAATGCTAATTGTATTATTAGCACTTTAAAATATACATGAAATGAGAGGTACCACTGGTGGAGTCGGGAGAGGTTTATTTTACTTCTGTTCTGGCAGACGGTTCCACTAACAGACCAGGCCCTTAGATAAAATTGAAACCTGGAGAGTGACCCTTGAATCTGGGGGGCCAAAAAGATGACAGCACAATCACTGTTTTCTTCATTATAGCTGACGCAGTTGCAACTACTTTTTGGGAAATCAAGAAGAAGTATATTGTATTTCTTTGGAATATTTATAAGGGCAGGAGAAGATAGCAAAATGAATTCACGTGTCCTGCTCCAAGCACAGGGTAATAATATATTAAATATAAGATTGAAAACTAAAAATTATATAGCTGGGTTCAGAAATAAAATCAGCATGTATATTATCAATGCCCCTCAAATTGTTTTGAGTGTATTTATCATGTTCAAATAAATGAGTAGAAGAATAGCTTTCTTTTAAAACATGCAACAATTTATGAAAGACCTATGGAAAGCAAACAAACTGGTTAATGTTGCCTGAATGCCCAGAGAGTTCTTTTTTCATACTTGAGAGTCAATAGAGAGTAAGTTGACATTGATTATTCTGAACCGGGTTTTCTTGAAGTGTGGTATACCTTTTTCGTTTTCCGCTTCACCTACAAATTATAATTTCTTTATTAAAGTTTTGAATTTGGTTGTTTAGTTTACTGGATGTCTTACTGGGGCTGGGGTCCAATCTTCCTTAGGTTGGATTCTCTCGGTCATTCTTATGTCTATACTTTTCTCCTAATTGTCACAATGTCTGTAACTACCGCATACCTTTTAATTATATGCAATGTTCAACGTTGCTTTCTGTTCTCCGCTGCTTCTAATATATTGACTATTTGTATAATGCTGCTGATTCAGGTTGCAACTGATTCTCTTAATTATAATCATCTTGTTTTAATCTAATTCTATTACCTTATTAGTGAGTTCTTATTGTCCTGAACTCATTTTCTTATTAACATATTTCATAATAAGTAGAAATGTAGAAAAATTTCCTTTGGTTAATTTTACATCTAGAGTAAGTTTTTTGGCAGCATTTCATATATTATTATCTTTCTTCTTGCCCTCCCTTCCTTCGTTGCTTCCTTCCTTTTGAGGTATATTTACATGGCTTCCACTTCGTGAATCCGTATAGCTTTCCCATGGTTTTCCAATAGAGCTGGTGAATTCTTGCATTTGTATAAACTACAGTTTGAGAAATGCATGCTGGCGCTTTTTACTTTTCTGTAAACTGTGGGCTGGGGGAAGGTGGTGAGGAAGGGCAAGCTCATGTGAGGCTACATCCAGCCTGTGAATGAGTGTCCCCATTCCTTCCCCTCTTCTGCAATTTTGTTAAACACCCTGCTGCAAGGTTCCCTTGTACTGACGTGGGCTGATTCTGTCTGAGAATGTGTGTGGGATGCCACGGTGCTGCGTAATCTTCCCTCCGAGTTGATGAGCAGCATTGAGAAAAATCACAGGCCCCTGTGTCTTATTTACGCTGAGAGCCCCTTGTAGGCACTGACCGCTAGGGGTTGCTAGACCCGAGATACTTCCTGAGGCTGCCTACTCACTAATTCGGCCTGCTTTCCCACAAGTTGCAAGGTATTAATAAAAATTAAAACTTTTTTGGTTTCTTATCAGCATTGTAATGGGGCGGAGAGGGTTTGTAAGTGAGTAATAGAAAAAAGAGCCATATTGAGTCTCTTAATATTCTTGTATTGAACAGAGTTTGTGCCATGAACTTTGTTTTTATTGTTGTTCCTTTTTGTTTTGTTTGTGCTTTTAGTTTTTTCTGCCGGTGAATTTTTGATGAGCTTATAACTAATCTATTAGTCATTTAATTAGATTCTAGAGAATGATGTTTTAAACTTCAGTTTCAATTCAGACTTCACCCCCAAATCCATCTAATATCATTTCTGACCTAAAGGCAACGTCAATTTTATTCCACTAAAACTTTACCCGGAGATTCATTTAGATGTTATATTAAAGCTTCCTGGCTCTGAAAATGTCTGAGTAGACAATATACTTAATTCATTTGTGTAAAAATATTTTCAACTATTGCAAAAGTTCAGAAATAGCTGAAGTGAAACTGATGAGTCAGTGAGGTAGTAATTAGTAAAAGTTTACTGTGCGCACACCAGAGAGACAGTTTGCAAAGTGGGAGCACTCAAACCACAACCTGGAGAGGGCTCAGGGGCACATCATCATAAAGCAGTGTACACAGGGAGGGAGCAGCAACTGCTTACTCTTCACAGTGATTGGCTGTAATATTAGAATTTTCAGGGCTTACCTCATATTGACCTTGGGAAACAGTTCATGATTTGCTTACGATTTCCGGAGGCATAAGCAAGAAATGGCCCAGGTTAAGTTGGTCTTGCAAAACTAGCTAAATTAAGTTTTGTTTGTATGGCTGAAATGATTAGTCTGTTCAGGGAATTTCCAAGGCTGGGGTCTGTTTTTTATTGTAACAGCTGAATACTATTTTATAGAAGGATACATGGAAACAAAATAAACAGATTACAAATCCTTTGAATGGATAGCAGTCTCTTGCATTGTCTAACAAGAGTTGGATTCCTCTACTACTTTTGGGTTCATGGTAAAGAAAGCCCTGTGTATTGCTACATAGTGGAATATCCTGTTCAAAATTAATTGCACAACCGCACTCCTTGAGTTGTTAGTGTGTATTGTCCTGTGGAGAAGGTGGTGCCCTGCGGTGGGAAAAGCATTAGATGAGTAGACCTTAGACCCTCCTTTCCATATAGACATTGACCCTTCCTCTACAACCGTGGGCATTTCACCAGCTCTTTTTGAGTTTCAGTTTTCTCACCTGGAGAACAAAGTTTTTGATCTTCAAATCACTTTCATTTCTAAAATTTCATGACTTTATGATTTCCGTGGTCCCTTCCAAAGGAAAGAACATGATTTATGTCTCTTCACATTAACAAGCCTTTCTTCCCCAGGTTTCCTTCAGATATCCACCCCAGCAATCGGCTGTGCGAGACAATGTCTTTTATGACATTTCCTTAAGATCTTTTCCTTCCTGCCTGTGACTGACCTTGCCTTCTCCTTGGCTTCGTTTTACGCTCCTTCTGTCTGACCGCAGGAAAACCCTGTTTACTTTCCCAGGGCTAATGCAAATGCACTGGGATGCCCCTCATTCTTTGTTCCCCACCCACAGGGGGCCTCTTACCTGGCCCTACGAAGGTCGCTCTCCACAAGCCCATCTCCCTAATCTACTTTTGTCTGTAAAGTAGATTATGAAACTTTTGAATAAAAGATATTATACCAGAACCATACTGAACTACGTAGCACTTAACTGTCTGGAAGGAGAAATCTCTGTTCATGGTGGTATTCAAAAATAGACCTGTATTTCAGGAAAGAAAAATGAACTAGGTTGGGAGAGATTGGTTTTTCCTACTAGGGGGTTACCACACTTTTTATAGCATCTTAGTTGGTTAGTAGGGAGCTTTGAAAAAATATCAGCATGGTCCTCCCTGTCAGCTGCTAGTTTAGGTCATTTTCAAAGAAACCCCCTATATACACAGAATTCTAACCAATTCACAACCGCATGATTTTATATTGTTGTGCCAGCTGAAT